AACTGAGTATACACCCCCCTCCGTTGGGGGTGATTATACTACACCATCCGAGAAAGTGCTTGTGTTCATCAATCGTGTGAGGCAACTTGCTGCCAGATTGCAGTCAACGAGTGTTGAGATTGACGATAAAGAAATTGCAATGGCTGTGTTGAATAGCTTGCCTCCACGATTCGATAACCTGATTGTTGCTCTTGACGCACTTGGCAATGAAGATAAAGTGTTTGGACTCGAGTTTGTGAAGAGTCGTCTGCTGCAAGAAGAACAACGAGAAAGCATGAAGACCGCTTCTGCTTCATCACTGTAGCATAATCGCGAGGACGTTATTCGAACGCGCGGGGTGACTACTGTACTCCCGCAAAATGCACTACAGCGTGCACACCCGCGCCTGTAAGTACGCGCTTGCTGCTCCCTGTGCACGTGTACAGCGTGACGATCCGGAGTAAGGCGCGCGAGCTTACCGTGTAAGGCGCTACCTAGATACTGTAGTATATGTTATGATAGATTATTTACTTGTATATTAAATGACAGGGCGGCCGGCGGCGGAGGGAGGAGAAGGACAAGCACGGGCTTGGTACCAGATCCTCCACCGCAGGTCTAACCCCGTCCGCTTATTCTAAACGCGTTCTCTTAACGCGAGCGCGTTAACTAGAAACTAACGCGGGTAGCGGTCGCGAACGTACGCGTGCGAGCTGGATCCGCCTCCGCCCGTCGGTGCTAGAACGCTAACTAGCGCCGCCCCGGGGCGTCGAGCGCGTCGAACCGCTCTACCGCGTATTGTGTTCGCGTCCGCTCCCCACCGCTCTACCACGCTACCACCGCCCGCGTTCTTTTCTGGTGTGTGTGTTTTTGTCCTCTCTCGTGTACACAGGTCTTCGAAGAACCACAGCTAAACCCCCAACGCGACCGGGGGTTTATGCTACATTGATCTCCTGACCTAGAAGGCCACACGATTATCGCGAGAAGACTATCGTTCCAGTCCGCGTCCGCACGCGTCGAAATGGAAGAAGGATCCGCCCCCTCAATTCAATCCAAGCCAGCGAATATGGAGTCAACCGCGTTCCGCACCTGCGAGTCAGCCGCGCTCCGCGTCCCATTCAGCGGCGGTGGCGCAGGTCTCAGTGACCGCGAACCGTCGCCTGAATTATCAGAAGGCCGCGCACGCGCGATGTATGACCGGATCGCGACGTATATTGAGGAGGTCCGGACCGCGCTTCGGATCGACGTAACCGACGCGGTATATTCGCGTTGCATGGAAGAACTACGATCCCTTCGCGAAGGGAGGTTTGACCGCGTCTCCCAGTCTCTGGATAACCTCCGAGCACTAGTCGATCAACTGCAGAGTCGACTGGTGCTCGTCGAGGAATCGCGTCTCGACTCCCCCGACGAGTTCGGGGAAGGCCGCTCCGAGAGGACGGCCTCTGCGGGACGTACTGACGCGAGACTTTTTCCTTCCGCGGAGCAGATGCGCGCGTTTGCCCATGTGACCGCGCAGTTAAATTCTACACGCCGACGTGTTCGTCAGATGGAACGTACCCCGACGGCGACGTCACCCGGAGCCCCACCGTTAGGGCCCGGTGGTACTGTACCTCCGAACGCGTCCGGCGCTCAAGATGTGGAGCCGGCTGGTGGTGACACCAGTCGGCCCGCACGCGGAGATCGTATTGAAAATGTGCGACCACATGCTGTTATCTGGAAAGTGCAAAATCGATTGACACGTGTACATGACTGCACGGTCCGGGCGCTCTTACCCATATCACGACATGACACGTGTAAAATCCCAGATTTTGGGGTTCTGGGGACGAAAGTGGCCTCTCGGAGGGTCATGCAAATTTGCATAGTTTTGCCAAGTGGAACCTTGGCCCGTAGCACTATAGACTACACAGGAAATACTGCAATTCTATTGGCCCTCAGGTCTAATGCTGCAAATCTATTGGTCGAGCGTTGTCCACGTGTGCGTCATTGGCCTTGTGATGTACTTTAAATGGCCTGTATATGCCAGAATTACGTTGTTTTGGGGGTTTCAAGTGGTTTGCCATGGTTGTAATGGGTAATTGCATGGGGCCCCCGGGCGGGACACATGTATCCCGTGTACATATGTACACGTCGCCAGGTGGATTCGTGTACGTACACATGTACACGCATCCAGGTGTATGCACATGAGGGTTTACAGTTTTTCAGTGTCAGAGGTGCGCAGCCGGCGCGCGTCCGAGTACAGTACATGTGAATCAAAAGTACAACAAGTACTTCTCGCGAGAGGAATACAGTTGTGCGATTATTCTGTGTACGCGTCACGCTGTATGCGAGTCTTGCGTGAGCACGCGCCGTTGCACTGTGCTCTCGTCATGGTGCGCCGTTGGATGCAAGTTCATGACAGTACTCGTGTGATTTACATGTATTCTCATGTGAGTTGTGTAGAAAGTCTGGATGCACATTGTTATAACTTGCCATAATTATCTGACAGTGCTTGGCGAAATTAGTAAGGTGAGAAACAAGGATACGTATGGCGATTGTGATATGAAAGACGTTTGCGTTGTTGGAAATAGACAAGTGCCAAGTTGTTCGTTGCACAACAATGAAGTCTGGCATGACTGGATGCAGATTAGTAAGGTGTGAAACAGTTGCATGCATAGGGCCATGGTTTACAGTCATTTGGAATGTGTAGAAATAGTTGTGAGCTAATAGTTACGAATCGATTCGTAAGGTGGAAATCGAACAGTATGGTCGGGCCACAAGAGGACCGCGCTTGGTCGCGCATAGTAGAGTATGGTTTACTAGGAGTCGGAGTAGAGCGATAGTGTAGCATGTAGCATAAACACCCCCAGACGACTGGAGATGTATGCGCAGTTCGACCTGTAGACCCCGGTTCGGAGAAGGGGTGAAGCGGGCCAACCAGCTACGGAACCGGGCTCGGGCCCGGGTAGCGGTGGTAACAGATTTTGGAATTATTGCTCTTAAGAACCACCAAAACGTGCAAAGACAATCACTTAGATGTGTAGGAAATGGAAAGAAACTCAAAACTTACTTTGCATGCGAGAACGAAGAAAAACCAAATACGAGATTGACGACGACGGCGGTAGCAGGAGCGGAAACGAAGACGAAGACCAAAGACAGAGACAGCAGCAAGAACCACAGCAAGAACGAAAGCCAAACCAAGAACGAAAATGACGAAGACAGCGGGGGCGATGACCAAAACCAATTCACACAAGAGAGCAAGAACGACAGCAGCAGCGAAAACCAAAACCAAGAACGACGGCAAGAACGAGAGCGACAACGACAGCGAGAAGACCAGCGGAAAGAACGACGAGAAACGGCAGCGAAAACGACAGCCACAACGACGGCAGAAACAACGGAACGAGAACGACAGACTCATGCAGTGAAACGACAGCGAGGGACTGGGCCCATAACCTAATGGTAGGTTCGGAGGGTCAAGGGAATGAAGGAGGGCAGGTTGTGTTGAAATAGTGAGCGCGCCCAAGGGGACACCAAGAAGCCAGCGCCTGTGGCCTAGTGGTTAACGAATTTTTGCGGCAGATTTTTGAGACCTCGATTTTAACATCAGGTTGACGTGTGTGAGTGAAGGAGTTGGTGCCGAGGTTTACTTCGAGCCGTCTTTCGGCGATACTTATACACTTTGAGTGTTACACTATCCCATTACCTCGGCACCTGGTAAACCGTACTCACCATATGCGCGACCAAGCGCGGTCCTCTTCTGGCCTGTCCACACTGTTCTATTTCCACCTTACGAGTTAACTATTGACTATCAGTGCACAACAGTTTCTACACATTTCGAGTGACTGTAAACCATGACCCTATGCATGCAATCGTTTCACACCTTACTAATCTGCATGCAGACATGACAGAATATATTCTTGCGCAATGAACAACTTGGCATCTCTCTATTTCCAACAACGCAAAGTCCTGTCATATCTCAGTCCCCATACATGCCCTTGTTTCGTACCTTACTAATTTCGGTACACACTGCCAGACAACTATGACGGGTAGCAACAATGTGCATCCAGACTTTCGACACATCTCACGTGATACCCGATGTGAATCACACGAGTACTGTCATCAACTTGCATCCAACGGCGCACCATAACGAGAGCACAGTACAATGTCGCATGCTGACGAGAGTGTAGTACAACGGCGCATGCTGATGCAAGGGTCGAATGCAGCGTGACGCATACACTGAATACTCACGTAAGTACATGTCTCTTGTGAGAAATACTTGTTGTACTTTTAATTCACATGTACTGTACTCGGACACGCGCCTGACCGTATGCAGGCGACGTGTACAAGTGTACGTACACGCAGCAACCTGGCGACGTGTACATGTGTACACCGCACCTAACTGTCCAGCGCCAAGGCCACACGTAATTACCCATTACAACCATGCTAAACAACTTGAAACCCCCGAAATGATGTAATTAAAACGTATACCGATCATTCAAGATATATCACCAGCATGACTGCATATAAGTGGACAATAACAGACCAATAGAATTGCAGCATTCGAACCGACACCCAATAGATTCGCAGTATTGCCTATGTAGATTCAGAAATACACAGCTTCTGTAAACGAAGATGCAGTGACTTCAATTGTTAAGTATTGCGGTATTGCTCTACGCGGCAAAGATTCCTCGCTTGTTTCCAGTTCAGATAAATCTGAACTCGATCGCGTTCGCGATGGCTTTGCAAAGAAAAAGCTTGAACTCGATGAAGCAGCCGCGGCTGCCGGCATTACTCAAGTGGTAGAGAAAATGAAAGGTGAACGGCGCAAACATCGTGTGACGTTTTACTATTTGCTCGCTGAGTCAACAGGAACAATGGATAAGCTGACCGGGTAATCACACTACCAGTAGGCAAGGTCTGGTTTGCGCTGAGGAGTCGTAAGCCATTCCGAAGTCAGCTTTCTCTGAGTCAGTTGTTAGCGGTTAATCCAATAAATAGTGCCAACCGCGACAGTCGGATTGGGCACGTTGAAATGTTGCACAACAGTTATGACTCAGGCCTCTCAGATAACAATTGAGAAGATCGATTCGAGTATCGCCATTCTTTCGATCTCTAATCCACCGTATGGGTTCATGGACGACACCACTGAGAAGGAATTGGTGTTGGCGCTAGATTCTCTTGACGCGGACAAGAATGTCTCGGTTGTCGTTCTGACCGGGGGTCAGCCGGATGTATTCATCCGGCATTACGATACTTTGGTCCTTGAAGCCAGAGGTCGGCAAATGGCTGCTCGAGGTCTTAAGTTTGACTTAAAACGTCCTGTGCCGGAAGTTGGTATTCATCGCGTGCTCAGACAAATTGAGAACAGTAGCAGCACGTTTATTGCGGCAATCAATGGTGAAGCAATGGGGGGCGGATTCGAGTTAGCACTTGCCTGCGATCTTCGAATTGCCCAGGCCGGTGAATATTCAATTGGTTTGCCTGAAGTCAATCTGGGTTTGCTGCCAGGCGCTGGTGGAACCCAACGCTTAACGCGCCTGGTTGGTAAAGCAAAAGCGCTAGAACTAATGTTAATGGGCGATACTTTGCGCCCGCGAGAAGCGAGATCGTACGGCTTGGTCAATGATGTTGTGAACGAACCAGTACTGCCGGTAGCTACCCAGTTGGCACGTGTCATTGCGTCCAAACCTGCGAACGCCAGAGCACGAATCAAATACCTGATCCATCGTGCGCAGACGTCAGATCAGACGACCGGATTTGCAGAAGAGCGCACCTTGTTCTGTGACTTAATGGGGAAGTGATCAGACTCATG